AAAACACTTTATGAATTTTGAATAAACACAGTATAACCCCCATGGCAAAAACGTGTGATTAGTGATTCTTTTTTCGTGAGTCTTAATTTCCATTCGAAAACTTATGGTTATCAATCTCATATTCTAAAGGGTCCAACACCATAAAACATCTGTGGTTATTCTGAATTTTTTTTCAAGAAAATAAAATACGTAGTAGTTCCTGTTTCTTACTCGCATATACCACGTACGAGAGTTGCAAATGTTTAGATTTTATCGGATGGAAAAGAAACGAACACTCAAGTGCGTAGGTTGTAACACATTTTACACCATTTGATGTAAAACGGAAGTGAAATAAATGTGATCATTTATGCATTAATTTCTCACAAGTCTTCTCATGCATTCTCCAATCAGAATAAGCAACGGTCTAGCAAATGGAAAACAACACATGTCATTTTATTATGTTCTTGAACAAAGGATTTGAACAATTGATAATTCTGCACCCTATAGACTAGGATAAATTACGCTGAAAATTACAGTAGTCTACGCACGACTTTGGGTATAGGTAACAATTCCAGGCAGGGAGAGCTTTAGGACTTATGAACGCTGAATGAATGAATGAATGAATCAAATATTCTAGCAAAACTATTTTAATCCATGAGGAAATTACCTACGTTAGGATGACACCTAAGAAATCATAAGTGGATATAAGGTGAACAGAATACTTCCTTTGCAGAGCAAAAATGTTAAAAGCAGCACTTCATCAGGTTCGGCTATAGAAAAGAAGAGAAAAATTCATAGGAGATTGAAAAAGGCCTACTGATACCGTATCCCTACAGTACCAAGGTTAAATTTTAATAGCGTTGAAAATGGCTGAATATCTCAAAAGACCAAGAAATCCACATGGCACGTGCTAAAAGAGTAAAAAGTCAAGTGATTCACGGTTGTGAGTACGAAAATCTAAACCGAGTCAAATTGAATTTCCGCCGCCTTCACAACCAGAGTAGATTCACTTCAAGAGACAACACACGTGAATTCTTTCACCAAGTGCAACAAAAAATTAAATAAAAACGAAAAATACAAAACAGTTTAAGGAGAACAAAGAACAAACATAGAAGAAAGTGCTATCGGTTTATGTAGCTGAATTGTAGGTCAATTTCCCCGACATTTTTCCGTTCCAAAGTGGTAGATCAGACTGACGAAAATCGTGCTTGTGAAACGCAAATTTTGCAAATCTGTGGATCTATCTATCCCTTCACAATTTTCCTTGACGTTTGTCACTTTATATGCATGAACAAATCAAACGGAAATTGAAATAATGAAAAAAAGTTGTTTTAAAAAAAGTTCATGAGTGACTAGACCTGACCCGAATTTTTGAATTGAAAATTTTTGCAATTCTGCAAATCTGTCCACCTTTTCACTCTTTTCTTCTGACGTTTCTCACTTTATATGCATGAACAAATTATCTAGGAAAAAATGAAAAGTTGAAGAAAAAACTTGCAAACTGACAGAGCAACTCTGTTGTCACAAATCAAACTCGAAGCCTACTACTTGAGAAAAACAACTCTTGCTCCACTCTTCGCCTCAAGCAATACTTTTGGGAAATGAGCCCGTCTCACACTTCAAAAAACTGGTGGTTCAACCATAGTACTCATCAGAAAAGAAGACGAAAAAGGCTGAAAGATGAGGGGGGGGGGGGGAGGAGTGAAGATTGACACATCAGCGCTTGGTTGTGTTTGTTTGAGCTATTCTAGTCCACTTATTAGGAAAGGTAGCTAGTATCCGAATGCCTCATCGGAAGAAACAATTTGTTTACCACATAACGACGAACGATCATAAATCTGAAGGGTTTGGGACGAGTTGCGTCTGCAAAAAACTCATTTTTGTCATTTTTGAACTATCAAAGAAATAGTACATGAAAGCAACTGCAAAACTCGTGGTCTTGATGCATAGAATGCGAGACAGTATGTGATTAAAAGATACGCAGACAATCGGAGACGCGTCGCGTGCGACTGTCGCGAATTGTGCATTATCTGCGCAGCTGACTATGGTAATAAATTCCCATATATGCACATATTGGCCTCAAGGCAGATTTGTAGTTGAAGTGTTCAAATTCAGAGAATGAGAATTTCATCGCTGATGAAGGCTCAGCTTTCATATAAATTCTGCGCGAAAGAAAATTTCCCATACAAACTTCAGAGTTGTAGTTTTATTTACGCACTTCACTTTTTAGATGTAGATAAGGAATACAGACATTCAATGTTTTATATGTTAAACAACTTTTTGCCGGCAAAGAAATAATACAATTATGTCCCCACAATAACAAATTTCGCAAAATTTGAAGAAAAGCGTGGTAAATTTCATGAAGTAATTTTGCTTAGATCACGTTTTGTAAGATACTAGGACTACTGTAGCCATAGCCATTATAAAATTTCATATCTCTCTTTTGAAAGAAAAGAACACTATGGGAATGCATTAGCGCTAAAAGACGATGAAGTGGGACATCGAAGTTTTAGAGCACTTATCTGCACAGAGGGACAAAGGAGCTTTCCTTTTTCTGCTTTAATGAAAAGGTCCAAAAATGCAAAGGTGCTCTCCATTTGCTCTTAATAGTCTAGTTCATGAGGAGAGGCCCGGGGGGGGGGGGGGGTGGGGGAGGGGGAGGGGAAATAAAGTACCTGGCACGAATGGCTATTGCCACGTTAACATTTTTGTGATTGGAAGCACCAAATGTACTGTATACATGTATATACATACCACTGCATGGATAATTGCCCCTACGAACAAATTGAGAGAGGACTAATATTCTTATTCCGGACAGGACCAACAAAGGCTCGACTGGTAAAGGCGCGACATTCAAGTGCAGTTATATGTAAACAATTAGCTTATTCACAGCATACGATACTGAATTTGGCTTCTGTATCCATGGAGACGATAGCGAAAAAAATATGGAGATTCATCAGACTTTTTCACATATTTCTTTTTTCCGGCGAATTTCTCATGTTGAAATTTTTCCTATAGTGAGTAAAACAACTACCAAAATTTACTATAAAAATAGCTATCAAGCGAATGGAATTAGTAAGAATTTAAATATGTAGTGATATCGCAAATGAGACGAGTTTTACAACCAATCTTTTCGAAAATGTAACAAAGTGAAAAATACAAAAATTTCCACTTATAATTGGAAGAGCGAGTAGTTACATTCTATAATCTTAAAATTTACTCAAAACTGGAAGAGCAAGTACAATATCATATAATTTTAAAATTGTACTTAAAATAGAAGAGCTAGGAGTGATATCCTATAATTCCGAAAGTAATTAATTCTAAAATCTCGAATATGCCATCCTCGTGCTTATTCCTGAGTGTCGCGGCTCGCGCGATGCAAGCCACTCCTCGAAACAGGAGGCCGGGAGCGCTGGCTGCCGCGTTACTTGGCGCGCTATCAATTTCGCGCCAAGACCTCTCCCTTACTGGGCGCGTTGCCAAGTCACAGGGTATATAAGGGCGCGCAGGCCGCGGTCTACGCCTCCTCGAGCTCCGTTCGTTATCGATCGTTTGATGATATCAACCCGCTGGCAGCGCCTCCAGTAGCTCCCGCAGATGATCAACGGTTTCGAGCGGTTGAGCCTTTGATAATCGTCTTGTGTATGGAGACGCGCAGCTAAGGTTGTAGTCTAGCGAGTAGTTGAAAAGGATTGCGGGAGTGGAGAGGGGTCACGCCGTCCCGTATGGGCCAGGGGCTTGCGGTTGACCCAGTGGAGGACCCGGAACTACACGTTGGAGATGATCTTCTTGGAGCATCGGCAGCACGGGACGAAGCGGCTCGTCCCGTGCCCATTTTCTTTCTCTAGTAGTAGTAGTCCTTTTAGTAGTTTCAGGTTTTTTGTGTTTGTTTTTATGTTTTAGTAAATGTGATTTAATCTAGTCGTGTTGTGATTGTTTGTTTATACGGGTTTGGGATGTTGGCGTCGAGCGGACGCGCTAGAGTGCGCGCACTAGCGCCGAAGCAGTATGTCCTGGAGTAGGGAATTGTGTTGTCAGGCGGACGAGCACTAGGGCGAGGGGTGCTGAGCACACCGAGCCGCAACATGGTGCATCGACGCCGAGCGCATGGTGGATGATGTTTTCCGCCCGCGCATGGAGTTTAGCTGGTCGAGCAGGGAAACAACACCGTTGGAACGCAGGGATTAGCGTCAGTCAGGGACGCGCTTTTTCATCCTCCATGCGTGCGTAACGGACCCGATGTCTACCACGCTCAGCACGCAATAAGAAGACCAGGCAAACAGGGAAGCTGGAGTGAATATCTACGTAACCAGTAGCGAGGCAGCGGGGCTAGCCAGGGTGAGAAGTATGGCGTTAGAGCGCGGGGGAAAAGTCGGGAAGACTGTGGCAACTTGCCAACTGGAACCCCAATCGACGTCGAGCGCCTACGCCATGCGATACCTGGTCAGCCTGCCGTGTTTGGAGGTGCTATCCAGGTGGAGGGCCGGTGTCGTTATCTGACGGGCTCGACACGGGGGCGCCAGAGAGATGGTGCCAGCACGTGCACATGTCGAGTCTTTGAAGTTGGCAGGAGCGATTGGGGGTAGAACGATGGACAGGATCGCCGGACGAATGTATTGAAGGATCGATAGCTGCTGGAAGGAAGTTGGACGATGGAGAAGGAGCAGAAGAGGACTGGATGGAGCGAAGCGCGCTTAGAATTGTATCGTTGTACGTGCAGTATGTGTTGTATCGTTGAGCACGAAGCGCGCGCGTGAAGCTGATCAGGGGGCGCGAGAGGAGCTGTATCGTAGTACGCGTATCATCAGTGCTTTATCGTCGAACGCGCAGGAATTGTATCGGAGCACGCGCCATGAAGGATTGGACGTTGGATGTCAGGGCTGCAGGAAGTTGGAGATGTGGAACATCGATGGATTGATGGAAGTTAGCGCGATTTCAGTATTGTATCGTTGTACGCGTACGTAGTATTGCGTCGTAGAACGCGCAAGTATTCTATCGTTGCACGCGCTATCCGGGAGGCGATGGAATGGAGGATCGATTGGACGAAAGGAGCTGCGCAGAGTCGTATCGGTGGACGCGCAGGGACAGAGCTGTATCGTCGAACGCGATGGGAAGCGCAGGGGGTACGGGATCGGCACCGTCCTATAGAAATAGGAGCTTGGACCATAACCGGGGAGTCGGGATTCGGGTTACATAGTGTAATTCTGGGGTTTTTGCATGGGGTAGTTTTAAGGGGTTTAGTATATTGTAATATTTGGGTTTAATACATTTAGGGCATTTAGTAGGGGTATATGGGTTAGGGTCAGTACTAGAGGGTCCTAGAACCCAAACCCAGTTAGTCTTTCTTTCACACCACCTTCTCTTCTTTCACTCTACTGTAGTTTAGTATTTCCAAAACCCGGCTAGTTTTGACCCCTTAGTATACTCTCTTCCTCATATTTTTATTCTCTCTTTTACAATATTGGCCCAATGAAGGACCTGTAGTCGCCCTCTAAAGTAGTGTTTCATGGGGTACCGCAAGGTAAGTTTCTTTGGTGCAAAACGCGCACTTGCACCTCTGATTCTACGCCCCTTTAGTTCGCCACCACCTCTAGTACAAGCGGGGAGCAGCCGTGCAGGGAACTTGGGAACTGTCGCGCAGGAGACAGGAAAGTACCATCAGGACGCGAACAATGCAGGATGGCGACAGCTGCAGGATGCACGGTTCACTATTAGGATATGGTCCAAGTGCCCATGGGTTATCAGAGGATGCCTCTCCGATTCGTCAGTAGGAGCCCTGGATGGTTTCTGGCCGACCTCCGGCAGGTTACTTGTCCTTGCACCTCGTTATACGCGCGCCACTCAGTGCCGCGCAGGTTCTTCAGTGACACCCAGATGTACTTGTTTGTCTTACGCCTGTGATAACTTCAGTCGCCGTTCATCCCATTTATGTTTTTGTGGAACTAGTCATCCTTCTCATATGTTAACCATTTCATATTTATCGCTCATGTACATATCGTTACTTTTAATTTATTGTTTTCCTTTCTTTTCTTTTTCAGATTATGTCGATGCTTGGTGCCCACAAAGCTCAGATCACTAAGGCCGCCAAAACGCTCCGTAACAAGATCGCGGACTTCGATGAGGCCATTTTGGAACCGGTGGATCTCACCACGGAGGCAGATAGGGATTCACAGTTCATTCTTAATCGTAAAAGTTTGTTATTTTTCAATTTTACTGTTCTTGTTCGTACTGTTGATTCACTTCGCGCCCAGAGAGAGAAGGCCGAAGAGTTTGCGCGTCAGCATCCTGACGGGCAGGGCGAGTTCCCCTTCCTCCAACAGATTCAGGAGCATTGGGACGCCAATGAACTGGATCAACTTGTGGAGGAAGCTGAAACTCTCCGTGATCGTGTCGACGCTGCGATCAAACTCTTGACGAGCTCGGAGGCATTGTATCTTTTTCGCGCTCCCACTGTTCCTCCCTCTCTTTGTAATCTTACTCCTAATCCGGCCCTGGACCCCATTTGTACCCGTCAGCCACCGCAGGATGTGAGAATGGAAGTCGCGAGCCATTCTTCGTCGCATGACCAGGATCGTCCAGCTGATCCGGATGCAGTCGCGCGAGTTGATCGGACTTCCCCACCCGCACGCGCGCAGAGCGTCGTGCAAGGATTCGACAACCCCTCACAAGTCCCTTCATCCCACCCAACTTTTGCAAACCCCTTCTCAACCTTTCCCCCGTCGAATCCTTTCGTTTCTTCATCAGCCCCTAACTCCAACCTTCCTTACCCATCCATGGAACAGTCGTTGAAGTTGCCCACTTTTGAGATTCCAACCTTTCACGGCGATGTCGACAACTTTCTGGAGTTTTGGGATCTCTTTTCGACGGCGGTGCATAACAACACCAGTGTGCCAGTGTCACACAAGTTTATGTACCTCAAGTCACATCTACGAGGACCAGCCGCGAGCATCATTGCCGGCTTTCAGTCTACGGCAGAAAACTATGAAGATGCAGTACGGACCTTGACTAATACGTATGGAAGGCCGGAGATTCTCCGAAATAGGCTCTGGGACAGATTGATGCAGCAGCCACCAGCATCAGAATCGCCAATGTCGCAACGCGCGACACTTTGCACCATCAAGGCCATATGGTCTCAGTTGAAACACCTCAAGGAGGACTCTAGCGCCATCGGCACGCTTAAGATCATTCGTGCCAAATTTCCTCGACGTACGCGCGAGAAAATTGGCGAATACAAGACGAAGGGAGATTCGATGTGGACAGTGGATGAATTGCTTTCGACGTTGGATACCATCATCGATAGATTGGAAACCGTGGAAGATGCTGACCCATCGGACTATCATTCGTATAACTCTCAAGCAGTATCTCGTCAATCTTCTCCTTCGCCTCGTAGGTACCCGAGCGCGAGTCGCAATGATCCAGCGTTTACGCGCTATCGCACGTCATCGTACTACCCTCGACGTTCGTCTCAGTCGCGCACACCATCACCCTACGGCAGGCACAACAGACCACCAACACCATACTATCCTCGCACTACGTCGCGCAGTCCCAGTAGACCACGTCATGTAGCTCGTTACGAGCCTCAGTGTGCCTTTTGTTGTGAGCTTGGACATTCACCAGAGCGATGCAGGATTGTGCAGGATATCGCGCAACGTAGATTGTTCGTCAGTCGTCATAAGCTCTGTTTTTTGTGCTTGGAACAAGGTCACACTTACATTTATTGTAATGCACCACCATGTGGATACTGTGGCAGACTGCACCATAAGGCTCTCTGTATGGACTTTCCACGCGCATCGCAACTACCAGTTCCATCTGGTGGAAGGATTTCTTACCCAGGTCCTGAGAGATCCTACTCTCCTAGACGCGTGCAGTTCCAAAGAGAGACTTATGGTCCATCTCGCGAGTATAGTAGCCGCTCACGCGCATCTCCATCGCGCAATCTTCACTCTGAATCGCCATCTCCATCTAGGCGACAGTTTTCCTTTTCACCAGCTAGGCGTGCCCCTTCCGCGCGCCGATCACGTAGCCCTACATCCGCAGTACACAGCGCCACCCGTACTACTGACCTACCTTGTACTACCAGAGACGCGCAAGCAGAACCTCTTGATCAACAACAGGCTTGTGTAGGCTCACATTCACCATCATCATGCACTTCTGTTTGTTCTCAAGAGTCGGTGCACCAGGAGCCGCGCCTTATGGTAGTACATGCTGTGACGAAGAACTATAGAACGAGAACGGAGGAGCTTCTGACAGTGTTTTTGGACAGTGGCTCGCAGTACAGCTTCATCTGTACGTCGCTAGCCAAACACTTAGGCTTACCGTTCCGCAATACTAAGGAGGTCACAACTCTGACATTCGGAGGTCATCAGTTCACGGAGGAATCGTCAGAGGTCACACTCGTACTCTGGGACCAGTATAACTACCCGATTGAACTCGAGCTATGGACGCGCGAGACTATCACGACGGTCCCACGGACTAATACTCGAAACGACAGCGACATCGTCGATTACGAGGATAGAGTCGAGGTCGATGTGTTGATTGGAATTGATAACTATTGGAGGGTTGTAGACTTGCACAAGAACGAGAAGTTACCATCTGGCTTGACTTTGTCGCACACGAGATTTGGACCAGTTCTATCTGGATTGAAGTACCCGGTTGTCTCCAATACCCTTTTAGCCTCCAAGACCCTCTTTACGGATGACGAGCCGGTAAGCGACCATCTTGTGCGAAGTCTTCTTGGCCTCGACACAGTCGCGATAGAAGAACATGAGAATGCAGAAGATGCTAACGTCATCAAGCACTTCTATGACACGGTCAGGATCGAGGATGGCAAGATCTATGTCTCCTTCCCATGGAAATCGAATCATCCTCCTCTTGCTGATAACAAGGCCCTAGCCTTTCGTCGACTGCAAAACCAGTACGAGAAGTTTCGTGCTACACCATCGGTATGGGATGAATATTGTCAGACATTCGAGAAGCAGTTGAAGAGAGGAATAATAGAAGATGTCACGCACGTTGTCGCGCGAGGCCCCAATGTTTATTACATACCACATCAAGCCGTTCACAAGCAGGAGAGCTCGACTACAAAGTTACGAATCGTCCTTGATGCGTCTAGCCACCAGAAAGGTTTTCCTAGTCTCAATGACTGCCTTCATCAAGGACCGTCCCTGCTACCCGACCTAGTAGGAACCCTGATGCGAAGCCGCTTCCATCGTTATCTTGTCATCGCGGACGTGGAGAAAGCATTTCATCAGATCCATCTACACCAGGATCAAAGAGACTCTACTAGATTTCTCTGGTTGAAGGACGTACACCAGCCACCCTCAACGGAAAATCTACGTATCATGCGCTTCGCGCGTCTGCCATTTGGCATAAACGCATCACCATTTCTACTTAGCATGTCCATCAGATACTTTCTTGAACAGGATCCAGCGAACCGTCTCAAAGAGGAAATCCTTGCCAACACATACGTGGATAACGTGATAGTAGGATCGAAGACCACCCAGGATTGTGTGGACAAGTGTATGGAGTGCAAGGACACCTTTGCCAGGATGGGCATGAACCTCCGGGAGTTTATGTCCAACAATCAGAAAGCATTAGTTGCGATCCCTCAAGAGAGCTGTATGATCATCCAAGGACATTTCGCTAAGTTTTTAGGAGTCAAATGGGATCCTAAGCTTGATGTTTTACACGTGCCTATCAATATCGCGCGTCAACCAGTTGTCAGTAAGAGGACCGCGCTACAAGTCTACGCGTCGACGTTTGATCCTCTAGGATTCTTGACACCGTTGCTGATAAAACCCAAGATTTTCATACAGGATCTTTGGGAGTCCGGTTATGGTTGGGACGATATGCTGACTGAGGAGGATATCCAGAAGTGGAACACCATCGTGCAGGACATAAGCGAGTTTCAGCTGAGGATGCCGCGCTTCATTGGATATACCGAAGAAGATACGTACGATCTGGTCGTGTGTTCAGATGCGTCCAAACGAGTGTATGCCATGACTGCCTACATCGTGACGCGCCCTCATAATGGCAAGCCTCAATCATCTCTACTCTTTGCCAAGGCAAAGTTAGCTCCACCCGGCGCTATTACGATCCCGCGCATGGAGCTCTTGGCTTGTCATATGGCAGCGAAAACAGTGCAGTTCTTGAGAAGCCAGCTCAAAGTTAGATTCCACTCCATCAGGTTTCTAACTGATTCGCAGATTGTCCTTTACTGGATACAGTCCCACAAGCCCCTTAAGACCTACGTCATCAATCGTGTCAAGTATATTCGTCGTGTTTTGGATGAGCTGAAGGCAGACGAAATCGCCACCGGATTCTATTACCTGGCCACGGACACTAACCCAGCGGACTCTGCCACCCGGGGATTGACAACATCTGAACTTGAACAACACATTTGGTGGACAGGTCCCGGTTTTTTCACGACGCCCTTCGAACAGTGGCCCTGCAAGGCTTTCGAGCCATCACATGTAACACCCGCAGGAGCAGAATCGGAAGAACTTCGCGTACCAAGGGCAGTTGTTTCTTCGGTTAGTAACATCCAAGAGACGTATAGATCTTTCGTGCCATTTACACGTACGAATTCATACGCAAAGTTAGTTCATATCACAGCATACGTCCTTAAATATCTGGCTAAACTGCGTCATAGAGTCAAGACGCGCTTTCAGCGCGAAGATCAGGACGAATGCTCTCTTTTTAGCACGATAGATACTATTCCCACTATAACATCGGACGACTTTACGGCAGCTGAACTTGTACTTATACGCGAACATTATCGCGAAAGTCAGCGCCAAATGGACGGATCGTATGTGAAGAAACTCCACACGAAGTACGATACGGACGGTACTATAAGAGTTGACTTGCGTATGACCAACGCGCAGATGAGCGATATAAGTAGGAATCCCATCCTCATACTTTCATCTCATCCTCTTTGCGAGAAGTTGATCGCGCATTACCATCATCAGCTCTTTCACGCAGGACCGTCACATTTGATAACTGCTCTACGTGAGAGATTCTTCATACCCAAACTAAAACGTATAATAAAATCGTTTATTTCCAGGTGTGTAATCTGTAAAAGATATCAGGGTCGCCCATGCACTTATCCGAGTCCACCTGATTTACCAGCTGAAAGAGTTACGAGGAGTCGTCCGTTCCAGCATATTGGCTTAGATTATTTTGGGCCTATCTCCGTCCGTTTGCTGAACTGCGATCGCCATAAAGTCTGGGTTTGCCTCTTCACGTGCATGTCGACGCGCGCTTTGCATTTGGAAGTGGTAAGAGACAACTCTGCGTTTCAGTTTATACTTGCTTTCAGAAGGTTTATGGCACGCAGAGGAACACCGGACAGTGTTACCAGCGATAACGCGCCGACCTTCAAATTGGGACAGGAGATTATCAAGAATCAGCTGACGACGGTTACGGATGATTCCCAGATGGACGAATTTCTGATGAGCCATAACATTAAGTGGAGCTTCATAACCCCGTATTCGCCTTGGAAAGGGGGATTTTATGAGAGATTGGTCGGATCAGTGAAGATCGCGCTGAAGAAGGCGATACGGAATCAGACTTTGGATCTCTGGCTCTTCGAAACGCTCATCATAGAGATAGAGGCCATTCTTAACACCAGGCCACTCTTTCCAGTAAACTCGGTAAATCCTAGTGCAAATGCGGCTATTCGACCGATTGATTTGATATCGCCACAGTTCAGAATAGCGCGCTTGACCCACAGTCTGCCTCAGAAGGTTAAAAACTCGTCGAGCGACAACTATCAAGCGCTTAACACGCGCTACAGGACACTGCAGACCGACTTAGACCGTTTTTGGGATGTCTGGCAGAAGGAATACTTATCAGTATTGGCGGAAAGAGAAGCTGTACGCGCGAAAACCCGGTCTTCTATGAAACTACCAAGAGTCGGTGAAGTTGTGCTCGTTAAAGAGGACGCGCCGAGATCAAGCTGGCCATTGGGACTTATTTTGGAACTACACACCTCAAAAGATGGCAACGTAAGATCAGCCAGAATTAGAACAGGCAAAAGGAGGATAGTCGACCGTGCAGTGAACCATTTATTGCCTCTGGAAGTCGTAGCAGAGAGTGAGGAGCCCTTTCAAAGCGATTGTCAGCGTAGCGCGAAGGCGCAACATCGTCATCGTGGAGTGTCCAAGAAGTAATTAGGAAGATACAGCATCTTTGCGTAAGTAAAATTTCTGATTTCATTATTTTCTTTCAATTACTTTTTTATTCTCTTTCATTTCCCTCATTTCTCTTTATCGATGATTGAGCGCTAGTCGCGCGATCACTTAGTCTTCTTCCGTCCTAATTATAATTTCAACACCTTTGAGGTCCCGACGCGAAATGCCGGCTACAGCGCGATCGCGCCTCGAAAGTAACGGAGAAGGCAGCAACATCAGCGAATGCTGGCGCTCGTCATACGCTTTAGATTAGAGCTTACGCGCTCACATTTCCTTTGTATCTGTTATCTCAGTAGTTTTTATAAGTTATTTCTCATATTTTTGTTGTGCTTACGTGTTTTTGCTGTATCAGCTAGCGCTTCATTGTAACTCACTTCATACTGACAATCTTACCTCGCTCAGGCTACTTTGCAATAAATATGTAAATCGACACTGTCGACTATCATAGATTAGGGACCTCAGCGAGGGAACAATGCAAGTAAGAAGAGCAAAATTTAATTTTCCTCATTCTTTATTTTCTTTTCTTATCCTTCAGGACACCCTGGAAGTGCACTCCATTATTTTGCGTCCTATCCAAACTTTGTGCACACTTGCCCCACTAAAACCGTTTCAAAATTGTACCTTTTTCTCAGTTTCTTCTTCCTTGTATTGAGCCCTTTACACCTTATTTACACTTACCTATAGCGCATTTTACATCACGCGCAAACGACTTCTACACCATGACTATTTTATGTTTTAGCAGCGCAAAACATCCGCGCGTTTTGATTCAAGTACATACATTTTTTTTGTTCAGGTCGAGTCGTTTAGCCAGGAGGCACTATAGAAGAACAACGGTCTACGCACAGCAATCCCGACATGGTCGATGTGTCCTTGCTCCGCCGTGATCAACGAAGAGACCAGCCATCGTCCAGTGCCCGGTTACATCACCCTGCTCTCGCGGGAGGCTGGACTGAAGTCCACTCTTTTACTTAGCTGGTCGCGTAAGTCTCGCTGCTCAGCAGCAAGTGACAACGCCCGTTTTTGCGCGAGCAAAACATATAGAGCTAGTGTGTTAGTCGTGTCACTTCTGGCTATTTTAGTTACCCGTAACCCAACTCCATCCGGGTTTTGTGTAAGCGCGCTAGAACACCGTTGCCTCACCGCGGCGCGCGTAAGTAAAATTAGGCGAGCTAGTGCGTAGCAGTGGTTAGAGAGGAGTGAGAGCATGACTTGTTGAGATATGTTTGTCCTTTTAAATCGCAACTGTTTCAGTAAGACCGAGCAGTATGCGATGGTTGGCGTGTGGACGCGCGATCGAGTGTTATCGCAGTTACGGTACGCGTCTGATCCGCACATGGCCACTTGGTTTGGTTGGATGCAGTATGATGTCCACTGGTTGCGCCTCTAGCCGCCGACAAAACTTTTTTATATTTAGTTATTGTACGTAGTTATCTTTGAATAGTAGTTAGTTTATTTAGCTGTTTAGTAGTATAACTTTTATCCATTTAATCGTATTTACCTGTATCGATCCCGTGTCGTTCTAAGTTTATTATTTTGCTATGCTTATTACTTGTTTATTTTAGCGCGGGCCGGGTTTTACTCATCCAACTTTTTCGTCGCGCGCTCTACTGTGCTGCCGATGGCATTATTTCTTTTTTCGCTACACTCAGTTAGGTGCCCTCCGTTGTGGACTCCAGCGCTATCACGTAACCACCATCCGAACGTCCAAGTCCACTGTTTCGGGGGGGAGTGTCGCGGCTCGCGCGATGCAAGCCACTCCTCGAAACAGGAGGCCGGGAGCGCTGGCTGCCGCGTTACTTGGCGCGCTATCAATTTCGCGCCAAGACCTCTCCCTTACTGGGCGCGTTGCCAAGTCACAGGGTATATAAGGGCGCGCAGGCCGCGGTCTACGCCTCCTCGAGCTCCGTTCGTTATCGATCGTTTGATGATATCAACCCGCTGGCAGCGCCTCCAGTAGCTCCCGCAGATGATCAACGGTTTCGAGCGGTTGAGCCTTTGATAATCGTCTTGTGTATGGAGACGCGCAGCTAAGGTTGTAGTCTAGCGAGTAGTTGAAAAGGATTGCGGGAGTGGAGAGGGGTCACGCCGTCCCGTATGGGCCAGGGGCTTGCGGTTGACCCAGTGGAGGACCCGGAACTACACGTTGGAGATGATCTTCTTGGAGCATCGGCAGCACGGGACGAAGCGGCTCGTCCCGTGCCCATTTTCTTTCTCTAGTAGTAGTAGTCCTTTTAGTAGTTTCAGGTTTTTTGTGTTTGTTTTTATGTTTTAGTAAATGTGATTTAATCTAGTCGTGTTGTGATTGTTTGTTTATACGGGTTTGGGATGTTGGCGTCGAGCGGACGCGCTAGAGTGCGCGCACTAGCGCCGAAGCAGTATGTCCTGGAGTAGGGAATTGTGTTGTCAGGCGGACGAGCACTAGGGCGAGGGGTGCTGAGCACACCGAGCCGCAACACTGAGGGAGCAGGGGAGATAAGAAAATAATTAAACGTAGCATCAACATAGTAAATCAAAACGCTCAGAACACTAAAAAAAATGCAAAACAATTAAGATTAATCGAAGATAGTCGTGGTTTTGCTCGTATATGCCTAGCCATCCCCCCGATAACGCCTCGTCTCGTATGAATAAAACTGAATTATCGAATTAGCGTCAAATGAATGGCGCAAAGCTGAGGCGGGGCAGAAAATTTGAGGGGAGTGAGGAGACATATACGAGATATTCAATTCATCCGTCATCATCATCGTCGACTCATATCTATATTCACAACTGCAGCAGCTGCGACCAAAATTATCAAAAGCATTAGCAGACTGGGCAGTGAAAAAATTCAACGGGTTGCCAAAAAATTCAAAAAAAGCAATTTAAAAATCTCGTTTGAATGACTCTAGACTAAGGAAGAGATTCGCAAGTAGTCAATACACGTAATTTACAAGAATCTAAAAGTGGTGGAAATTCCATTATGGTTTATAAGGGAAAGATCTGGAGAGTATTCGCACGAAAATAAAAAGCATTTAGAGCATTTTATTTTGTCTCTAATATGAAGATTGACGAACGGTTCCAAAATTCTCAGAAAAAAGTGTCAAAGTCCATATTTTAACAGCTTTATGAGAAAGACTTCGAAAAAATCGCTCGGTGTTTGAAAAATATGCGCAAAAATCCTGTTTCAATAGCGCTATTAGAATAACTAATTTGATGAACCAGTGTACTAAAGGCTAAAGTTCCTGTTTCAATTGCTTTTCAGAAAATGGTTCGGCATGTAACTGTACAGTTTCAATGGCTCCAAAAGTTATAAGAAGGTCTGGAGCGAAGGTGAAGTCAAAAAAAATGCTTTGATTGTTTTCACTGTCTCTATAAAGACGTCTGAGAATTCATTGTACAAAAATAAGGAGCTGTTACCCCTGTCCGAATAGTTTTTGAGAAAAAAAAGTTGGAGAGTAATTGCCTAGAGATCAAGGGGATATCAAAACATTCTACTTCAATGGCTTGGTAAAGGAAAAAGTTTCGACGAGCAGCAGAGCATAAATCAAGAATTCCTGTCTCAATGGCCTAAAAAATAGATTTGGCGATGACTGAAGATGGGTATTTCAAAATTTCTTGTACATAAGACTAAGGAAAAAGATCTGATGAGTTACTGTTCAAAAGTAGAAAAATACATTGTAATTCCTGTTTCAGCGGCTGCATAAAAATGAGAAAAACTCCGAATGAGCGATTTCGTGTTGAACACTTTGAAGTGTTCAAAAATTTGAGGATTGTCGGTCGTACTCTGAGCCCTTTCCCGCCAAGTATTTATCTTTTTTCCACCAATTACTCCAATCACGATATGCAGGATAAATGCGTAGCAATTTGCGAAACGAGACCAAATGAGACCCCTTCTGCACTTAGGTGCATAATGACGTAGCAGGAAGATATTTGGAGCGCTTGAAATAAAACAAAATCTCCCAAAATTCGCCATCTGATCGTCTCGAAAACCTTAATTTGCTCTGCTGCTAATAAATGAATGCGACAGCTGTAAGAACCATAATTTTGCGCAAAAAATGAAAAGCGTTGAAGCTTTAATTGATGCTACTACTTTTCATTATAAGTGGTAGATCTTGTATTTCAATGCGCATACACAGTTCATGCAATTGAAAATCTATCTAATTTGTGGTTTCTGGAGACATCTATTTTCTTGCACCAATTTTTTCAATAATATGATAACTGATGCAAAATCCTCGTACCAGAATATTAAAAAAATGTTTTGAGAATCAAACAAAATAATCAGTTGAAAGAATGTGCTCTTTGCTGTGTATATCAGAAGTAGTATTTTATAAAAAATTTTAGAAATTCGTTAGTTATGGAACAAAATTGAGAGGTCAACTTTGAAGAATCGAAGTTTGTAACTATCGCAGAGACATCAAATCACTACCCTTCTTATACTCAAAAAAGGTATGACATCAAACCAAGACCAAAAAAATTTGAGTTTTTGTAGATGTTCTAGCAATTCTAGTCACCAAAAACTGAAAAATCACTTTATGAGCTTGGTTTTCTTCTTAATCAGCTTGAATCGTTGTCGTATGCCCTAAAGAAATTATGACCTGAGCACTAGTAAAAAGCGCAAAATCTTCTCTCTTTTGTATCAAATCAGAAGATTTCATGAGGCTGGAGGAAATGACATAATTTCAAAATTCTTGGTGCAAGAATTATGCATCAACCTTATAGAAATAGTTTGTCAAATTAGAATCAAAACATAATTTCTTTGGAGCTTATAAAACTCCCAAATCTGGATTTTAGGAAGAATGTTTCTTCTTACCAACTTGTATCGCGGATGCTTTGATTGACCGTTTTTGAGAGGCTACGTCTTTACCCTGTAAAGTATAAGCTAACATCGTTTTGTTCACCCCCTTAGACGAGTTACACCCTACAAATATCCTCGTGAGGTAACATCGAGCCGTCTCTAGAGCACTCGTGCGAAATCCTAAGTGACTACTTGGTGATCTTTTGAC